TGAGCTACTGTACCTTTTGCTTCAGCGCTGTTCCCTACTGAACTTCAGGGCTTGGTTGTCTTCTGGGTGAATTTGAATTGCAGCTACGCCAAAACAAACCACTATCTGAGCAACTGAAGGAGAGAAACAGCCTGCATTTCCATTAAATGTTGCGTAACTGCACAAGACGAAAGACTTTTTTTTATACTACAAATACGAGTACTGTTAAGACATTGCTATGCAGCTCTGCCTTATGGCTGCCTTCTGGTTCTTTAACCTCTTTTTCCATCCCCAGTATCTGTAGTCTGTCTGTTATCTGTTAACCTCTTTCCTAAATCACCACCTTCACATAGCAAACCTGAGGACTGTAAACGCCTGTAGTGGCTGGTGAAAACATTTTGCTATCTATCCTCAACAAGGCAAGACTAGGGAAGAGTCAATGGAACAGAATTTCAAAATCAAGAAAACCCACAATATTTTGTCACTACTGGTGTGAAGATTGCAATTTTGAAAATAATGAGTTATCCTTTCCCTTTCTCTCCTTCCCAGTCAGCTGGTTTGTGATTGTGGATAACATTGACTAACACTTGCTGCTCTATATAGTAAGAAAAGGAATTCAACACATTGAGATTAAAAAAACAAAAAAAGATGTACAATGTAGGATACAAAAAAATGGAAGAAATTGAAAGTATATTTCCAGCTTGATCAGGGAAACGGAACAGAGAAGGGCACAAGCGCTTATAGATGCTGGGGATGACTCAGAGGAAACACAATGTTCATCTGACCACTGGCTGTACCACAGCCTATATGTTGCCTGTCAAGCCCCCAAAACTTTAAATTATAACTTGAACACCCCAGGCATTACAGCTTTGTCCCAGAATAGGCTCCTTCTTAAATACTCTGTACCACAGGGCTGCAAAGAGCATGACGGCTACTGGATTTAATTCTCTAGCTATGCATGAATATGAGACAAATTATTTTATAGTCTTCCTGCTGGGAGGGAGAGAAAACATTGCTCAGCATCCAGCATCCATTTTTCTGTGACTTTAAAAATAGTCTCATCAGCATGAAATTCCATAATGTACTTCTTGACAGTCAAAGTTCCTTAGTGGATCTCAGGTTCACATGTTACACACATATTTGGTAATATTTTTGTTATTGCTTGAATATCTAAAGCGTTTTTTGATATTAAAAACTTACCAAAAATATCCGCAGTCACAGTTCTTCATTATGATCAGCTCCTGAAAACATCTAACTGCACTGCACTAAATTATTAGAAAAATTGAAACACTCAACTTTTGTGTATAAAATCCCCACATGAAACATGATAACAATTATGCAGTCCTTCACACACCCATTAATATATAAAGAACAATAATGACTGCAGCTTTTTATGTAAGTGTCCTCTTGCTCCAAGCATTCCTAATTTTGAATAATTGCAGTTTCATATAATCTCCCTTCCCATTTTTCAGGAACTTTGACACCTTCTTCTTCTAAACATTTACAAAGCTCCACTTGTTCTCATAACAAATACTGAAACATATCAATATAAGCAATAGGTCCGATACCTTAGAAATGGGTCCTAATGCATGTACTGGCAGGGTACTTGTGCTAACTCTCCAAACTAGGGGCCTGCCTTGTATTTTGTGGGTCTGTATCTTAAGATGGCATATGTATGTAGTCTACGTCTGCAACACTGGCAAGCTTTTATCTTAATCAAGTGGTATTTTTTAAATATCCCGACGTTCTGCCCATCACTTCTAGTTATTCCAATTTTGCATCACTATCCTATCAATTGCTGGTTGTCCAAGTCCAAAAACAGCACTTCACTGGGTGAAGCTGCTTCTGGAAAAGAGATAAGAGAAAAGTCTGCTCAACTCCAACTTCTCAGGTGCTCTCATTTCCTCGTTGGAAATTTTGTTATGTAATTTTAGAAATTCTTGTTTCAGCCTGTTTGTATTTGCTGTCGTGCGATTAAAAACATGAAATGGTGTTTCATAGCACTCATCTTGTGCTTCGCAAATGACAGAATACTGTTTCGTACTCTAGAAACAACATTCTTAAAAAAATTCAAGAATGCACACAAAAACAAAACAAAAAACAATCTGTTTTGTAAAATGGGAATAAGAGGCAAAAAATCAGTAGCTCTGCCTAACTACCTACAGAAATACCTTCTTACTTACAACAATGTATTAACAGAAGATTGTTCTTACAATAAAAAAAGAAATGTAAATATGTCAAGGTCTGACCACAGTCAGGGCAGTGAGGGTGAATTAAGAAATAGTGGGGACCCTCCCGTCCTATGCTGGAAATATGGAAGTGCTCTGCTAACATTTGAGCCTCTAACAGATGCAGCTCTCCAAAAAAGTCCAGACTGACGCGTGCAGGACACCTGTGAGTGTTCAGTGTACCACATATGAACAAGCATTCAAAAAACAAACTCGAAATTGCTTCACTTCACAACACTCACCATTTGGAATGTAACTATCAAGCAAAAACTGACTCATGAATTACATAATCGTGAAATATGTTTTTTACGAACATTTTGTCAACAGAAGGTCATTTCTCAGGGCAGAAGGGGAACAAGCGTGTAGTTTCATTGCTCATCTAATAAGATGTAATTACAGTCTCTAGCACAAGAGACACCCACACTCACTCTTTTCTGTTCTAGCCATCTATTACTGCCCCCTCCTGTATCTCAGATGAAGCATTCATGTGTCTATATCGCAACTAGGATTAATTAGAGTTAATTTTTTGTAGTGGAGTACATCTACATTTCGTCAGTGAACCGACCCAAGTAACCTTACAGGTGCATAAATCACCTGTGTAAAGAGGGGTTTTCGGCAGTAGAGTGGAAGATGAAACTTCATTCTGAGCTTAAAAACATCACTCATCCTCGTTTACATGATTCTGCTTTAGTTTGTTTTCTTGAACACCATCCTTCTTTCTATTAGCCTTACAAGCTTTTACTGCTTCTTCCGACTACTTGCTTGCATTATCCTACTTCTGTTTTAAGTAGTTTTTGCTTCATGCTTGTCAATTGATTTATCTCAGTGTTCAGAAGGTTGACATTGTTTCCAATACTCGCTCTAACTTAAAAGATTACTATTCTCCCAGTATTTGGTCTCTGCTATGAAATGCCCAGAAGGGTTATACACAGTTTACTGTGGTCTCTCAAAGTACCCAGTGATCTCAGAATCTGTAATGCTCAATTCATAAAATAAGGCAATTAGCAGGCACAACAAACATTTAGTAAATTGAACGCAGGAAATTAAGTGCAGGTGTAGCTGAGATGGTTCAGTCTCAAGTGGTTTAAACGTGCTACTTGCTGACAGCTATAATAATTCTAGTTCATCCTGGGGTGAACAGTTTTTACACTGTGAGCCTGCTGTGAGCAGTTTTTACAGGTAGATTCCTATGATTACAGATGCCTCCACTGAACCAAAGTTAGTTTCATTGTTGAGGGAATAACCACCATAGTTGGACAAAATCAGTATCTTTACCACATAGACAGACCTGTGCTTCATCTCTTTAGCTGCCGGTATTTTTATTTTTAGCCTAAACTGACTGACCCGATGAATGAACCAAAAAGCTTTCTCTTACTGGCTCCTATTCCACCTTTATTCATTCAAGTCTACCTGTTTGTTTTCGGTCTCTGCGTAGGCATGAGAAATTATTGGAGGTTTTTCTCCAAAGTTCTTCAGAATCCACCAATACAGTGTTATTTTGCCACCGCAATGATCGCAGCTCCTCTTTTCTTGACTCAGGACCTGTGTTGTTCAAGTTGCTTATCATTGGTTTTGCTCGTTCTCCTTCAGATACCTCGTGAGGTCACGTCTAATAACATAATTACTTTTAAGTACTATTCTACTGTGATAAGAGAGCTGTGCTAAATATTGTGTTGCAACAGGGGCATAGCCACGGAAGGGTGTGTAGTTCCTGTTACAGAAAAAAGGAAGGGCGACAGGTAGGTGCCTCTAAGAGGTGACCCACAGGAGGTCAGGGCTACACAAGGACCATCAGTTCTTTGGGACTATGCCTGTTTTCGTGTATTGTTTTAGTCCAGCGATCGCCTAACCCCTATGAACAGTCCCAGCAGCAGAACTCCTTGCCGGTGCGGACTCGGTGCGTGCCTGGACGGCCGGCCAGGCCGCCCCTGCCCCTGCCCCTCCTCGGGCCGGGCTGCGGCCGCCCGGCTAGGTCTTCCTCACGGC